TTCTCTCTCATCATTGATGTTTCTATCTCTCTCTCCCTCTCCCTTCCTCTCTGAAATCTATAAAAATATATTAAAAAAAAATAAAGTTTCTTCCTCCTCCTCTCTCCAGGCAAATTTCACCGCATCCCCCAGATCTATGTCAGATGGTCCCTCTTTAGTGGGGCCCCTCCCAACTCCTGCAGAGCTGTTACTCCCCAAATGTCTCTTCCTTACAAAACCTTACTCCATTCTGTGTTTCACCCCACCGGACGGTGAACTCCTTCCTGGGGAGAGAGCATGTGTTACCCACACGTGTGGCTGCCCCACTCCACCCCCACCCCATCTCCACCCTTAGCACAACACCTAACACCCAACTAATCGAGACGCTTTGTTATAATAACTTCCAGTTCATAAAAGGAAACACTGAGCTTGTCATGTTTATCTTCAAAGCGAATCTCATCTTAACTGAGTGGTTTTCTGCATTTGCCCTGAACACACGTTGCAACATTCTCACTGTTCTGAGGGAGGCGGACACGGGCTGTCGGGCAGCACTGCCCTTACCTGCATCCCCCTCATCCTCTGGAACCGGGCGATGGTGTCGCTGATGGTGTACACGCGCACGTGGCCCATGTGCAGCCTGCCCGACGGGTAGGGGAACATGGAGAGCACATAAAACTTGGGCTTCGATTTCTAGGGAAGAAGGAAGGAAAATGATGAGGATTAGTAAGCATTTACTGGGAACCTGCCTGCACATAGCAGTGGGCACGTTCCTCAAGGTAATTGTTTAACACTGTGAAACGTGTCCTTTTGAAAACACTATTCCTGTAATAGAAGTTGACAAAAATGTCAAAAACCCAAATTCAAAGCCCTGGTTTGAGCTAAAGAATGTCCAAAATGATGCCGAACACCCTCCAAGTGCTAATTATTCATCTATATTTTTAATCTTTTTTTTTTCTCTCTCTCTCTCTCTTTTATTTATTTATTTTTTAAAATATATTTTATTGATTTTTTACAGAGAGGAAGGGAGAGGGACAGAGAGTCAGAAACATTGATGAGAGAGAAACATCGATTAGCTGCCTCCTGCACACCGCCTACTGGGGATTCGCCCGCAACCAAGGTACATGCCCTTGACCGGAATCGAACCCGGGACCCTTCAGTCCCCAGGCCGACGCTCTATCCACTGAGCCAAACCGATCAGGGCTCTCTCTCTTTTAAAAAGCTTATTTTTAAGACAGCTTCTATCTAGATCTAAGCAAACTGTGTTTTTCCAAATGAAGCTCTAGTGAATCCCGGATGTGACATCTCTGAACACGGAGCCCTTCCGCAATCCTGAGCTGCACTCAGACCTGGGTTAGCTGTCAGACCAGTACCCTAAGGCACCAGTTTGGGTCCTGGGTTTCTCACTGTGTTGGGAGCTTATCTTTTAACAACAACAAAAAAGCTGAAATGGGAAGATAGTGGGAAAATCTCAGCCAGTGAAGGGAGAAGGCTGTGGCTTCCCGGGGCTGCTCTGCAGGCGGCCTCAGGCCAGGGCTGTATAACTAACTCTCCAGCTTCCCAAGATGCAGCTTCAGCATGAGAAACACAGAGAACTGGACGTGCATCCCAACAGAATGAACACAGGGCAGGAAGTCCTCATTGGGACGCTGACTTCGGCACCTTAGTTCTTCCATCGGTAAAATGGTGAGTGCTGGCACAAGTCCGTCTACAGGAGGGGATAAGGCTCCAAAGGAAAGCTGGTAGGCAGGTAACTGATTCCTCATTGGGGCCTGTTGTTCAAGGGCAATGACTGGGTTTGAGCATCTCCCCCACAACCTCCCAGCAGAATTAATAACTATTGGATGTTTGTGGGCCTTGGTGCCCCGGAAGCCTGATAACTGGCCTCCGTAGAACTCTTAGCAAACTGTCCCCATGATGCAAACTGGGTATTTCCCAGCAAAGTCCACCAATCCTGTCCAGGCGATGGCACGCTCCCCCCGCCCAGCCTTACATCCTCCCAAGGGGCAGAGGAGCTCCTAGGAAGAAAGACAATAACTGCTCCTGCTTTGTCACTAAGGGCCGGGACCATCTGATATTACACTATTTCATTTACTTCTGCCTTCTGTCTTTCCCTTTCTGTCTTGACTCCCTTCCTAGAGTCTTCTAAGGCTTTGCTTCCCCCAAACTAATGAAAACAAATGCAAAACAGAATATTCATAACCATCCCTTTGTGATCATGTGGGGGGAAGGGGATTTGCGTTTTTTGCTAGTATTTGCACGCCTGATCGTTGACACAGCCAACTGTAACCAGGGGAGTAGAAGAAACCAGAAAGCAGATTCTTTCCAATCTCATCTGACCCCTTGCTTTAAACTTCCTTCAGCAAAGAAGTTAAACTTTTACCAGAGCCTCTGACACGTGGCAAAACAGACTAGCGTGGAACTTTTCTCTCCCTGCCCCTCCTCCAGAAATGACCGACGGGCAGTCAAGTCAAGATGCCTGAAGGAAGAAAAGGGGAGTAAGGAGTCTGGAACTAGTCTACACACAGACTAGAAAACCGTCTTGAAATGCTGTTGGTGTAAACAGATGGGTGGGAAGCAGCACATTGATCACGCTCTTTAATTGGAAACTGTGGATCCACAGCGCTTAGGAAACCTCAGGAACGTGGGTGAGGACGGGAGGTTCAGGAGTCAGTGGGGACTCAGGAATTACCATCTTTAAGAAGACAGGTGACAGATAATCCTCTCAGCTTATAAACAAGGCTCTCAAAGGAGGAACAAGACCTCAGGAAATAAGCAAACTAGCCTCCCTACTCATTTTTAGGGAACATGGTAAAGAGCTGTTAAAGAGTTCTTTATTTTTTTAAACAGTTTTTTATTGATTTCAGAGAGGAAGGGAGAGGGAGAGAGATAGAAACATCGATGATGAGAGATAATCACTGATCAGCTGCCTCCTGCACGCCCCACACTGGGGATCGAGCTTGCAACCTGGGCATGTGCCCTGACTGGGAATCGAACTGTGACCTTCTGGTTCATAGGTCGACACTCAACCACTGAACCACACTGGCTGGGCCAGAGTTCTGGGACCCGAAAAAAAAACACACAAGAAAACCCTTGCTATAAAATATTTCGAGTTTTTCATTGTAAAGTTTTTACATTAAACCTGTTTTTCTTTTATTATAATCACCTTGTTTTTATTATAGTAATATATTTTTATATTATGTTTATTTAACAATCAATCTTGCCCCAAACATTTTCCACATATAACTCCTTCATTACCATCTCCTTTTTGTATGTTGGTTTAACAAAGCTTAAATTTATGTAAAATCGAGTGATTCATTATATAGGAGCTAAGCCAAACACCAAAACTGAGTTTATAGAAGATATATAGAAAAGTACTGCTAGCAAAAGCTTTTAATATTCATGGATATTTTTATTGCAGAAAAGGTATTCAGCTTACTGCCTGCCCTGCCTTTTGCTTTCTGTGTGAATTAAGTCATTTTCCTCTGTGACAATGAAATGCATTCTATCCTCTGTGGGTGGAAAGAAGAGAAGGAATTATGGGAGTTTATGTTATAACCAAGCAGGAATGTAATTGAAAGGGAAATTTTCATAATTATATAAAAGTTAAGAATCGAAACCTTTAAAAGAAATTAAGATTTTAAGCGATAAGAAAAGGACGGTCTTTATAAATAGGTCCTATTCTTTTTGCCAGCTTCTCATGTTGGGAGAGAGATAATTTCTGTTTCTTTATAGACCTGGCTCCGAGCTGGGAGGAAGGGAGGATGGCAGAGAGGAGCACTCAATAGCAACCTGGAGCCCTAGTTCTGGTCCCAGCTTTGCCCCTGGCTCTGAGACCTTAGGCAAATTCCTTTGCCCTTCTGGGCTCAGTTTACAATCTGTAAATCAAAGGTTTCTCAGTGGTTAGAGCATCGGCCCTTGGATCAAGGGGGTCTCAGGTTTGATTCCCGGTCAAGGGCATGTACCTCAGTTACAGGTTCCCCAGCCCCAGTAGGGGAGCATGTTGGAGGCAGTCAATCAATGTGTGGGTGTCTCTCCCTCCCCCTCCTCCCTCCCTTCCACTCTCTAGAAATCAATGGAAAAAATATTCTTGGGCCCAGCTGGCGTGGCTCAGTGGTTGAGCGTCCACCTATGAACCAAGAGGTCACTGTGCGATTCCCGGTCAGGGACCATGCCCGTTTGTGGGCTTGATCCCTAGTGTGGGGTGTGCAGGAAGCAGCAGCCGGTCAATGATTCTCACTCATCTTTGATGTTTCTATCTCTCTTCCTCTCAGAAATCAATTAAAAAAAATATATTTTTTTAAAAGATGACTGGGTCTGAATCCTGGCTCTGCCACAGGTGAGTTGTGCATCTGGACAAACTGCCAAACCTCCCTCTGAGCCTCGGTTTTCTTATCCCCAAGATGAGGATAATACCTTCCCTCAGGCTTATTTCAGGATTAAATGGGAAAATAATGGACAGATGGTGCCTGACACATAATAATATGCTCATTAAATGGAAGTTCTTGCCCTAACCGGTTTGGCTCAGTGGATAGAGCGTCGGCCTGTGGACTGAAAGGTCCCAGGTTCGATTCCGGTCAAGGGCATGTACCTTGGTTGCGGGCACATCCCCAATAGGGGGTGTGCAGAAGGCAGCTGATCGATGTTTGTCTCATCGATGTTTCTAACTCTCTATCCCTCTCTCTCCTCTCTGTAAAAAAATCAATAAAATGTATTTTTTTTAAAAAAAGGAAATTCTTTTTAGGATGATGATAATTAGGATCATGATGGCAAAATATTCAACTTCTAGACAATCATTTGGGTGGGTTTCAACTGTACCTCACACTAGAGCAGTGATGGCGAACCTTTGAGCTCGGCGTGTCAGCATTTTGAGCTCAGCGTGTCAGCACCTAACTTAACTCTGGTGCCGTGTCACATATAGAAATTTTTTGATATTTGCAACCATAGTAAAACAAAGACTTATATTTATTTTATATATTTAAATGCCACTTAACAAAGAAAAATCAACCAAAAAAATGAGTTTGCCTGTCACCTCTGACACGCGTGTCATAGGTTCGCCATCACTGCACTAGAGTGAGGTCCATGATCAATGCTTCCGAACCCACCAGCATCCAGCAGCGTTTTCAGTTCCTGACAAGACGCACCACACATTTTTCTCCCCTTGTACCTTTCATTTACATAACACTTCAGTTTGTAAAATGTGTTCAGCCACATTTCCCATTTGATTTTCAAAACAATTCTGTGAGATAAATAATGTGAGGAATGTGAGGATCAAGGAGGTTCATGATGTTGCCAAGTTCGCACGAATTCTGGGGCAGAGCCAGTCCTTTTCTGCCAGGCTCCAGACCCTCGCCAGGTGCTCGCTCCACTACACTACACCCCCCTCAAACCCGACAGCGTGCCAGGGCCCATCCACAATATCTCCAAAGCTATTTACCCATTTATTGAAACACTAGAGGCTCAGTGCACGAATTTGTGCACGGGTGGGGTCCGGTTGGGCAGATCAGGCGGGGCCGGCCAGGAGGAGGGGCCTCGGGCAGTTGGCCAGCCGACTCCGACCCCTGATCAAACTCCCAGTCGAGGGGACAATTTGCATATTAGCCTTTTATTATATAGAATAGTTTATTTTGATCCACTTAATTTTTTAAAAACCATATGCTTAAGAATAAGATGTCACAAAATCAGTAAGCTACAACTTCAAAATGTTTGAAAGTCACTAAGTTATAATCTAAACCAAAAGCAAAAAATCGAAGTTTAAGCTACTTATTTAGAATTAAACTGCACCCTGCCCAGTCGGTGTGGCTCAGTGGTTGAGCATCAACCTATGAACCAGGAGGTCACGGTTCGATTCCTGGTCAGGACAGCACATGCCCAGGTTGCAGGCTCGATCCCCAGTAGGGGGCGTGCAGGAGGCAGCCAATCAATGATTCTCATCATTGATGTTTCTATCCCTCTCTCCCTCTCCTTTCCTCTCTGAAATAAAATATATATATATTAAAAAAATGAATTAAACTGCTCCCTAAGGTTTATATCCAAAATATATTAAGTTAGATTAGTCTGATCATGTTGCCAGGAAGGCTTTTCACTTCCTAATGAGTAAGAGTGAGGCTTGCATTGCACATTTACGCATTACATTCAAACCTTCCTTTTTGTCATTTCACTTGTTATATGCTATGCCTTTCTCAATGTCAGACTTTCTCACACAGAAGTTGGGCTCACGGCTGGCGAGTGCAGCGGTGGTGGTGGGAGCCTCTCCCGCCTCAGCAGCAGCGCTAAGGAGCAGCAAGCCAAGCAGTAAAGAGCAGCAAGCAGGCGGACGGTAAGAAGCAAGGGGTCCCCGACTATGAGAGGGATGTCCACCGAGGGCTCCCGACTACGAGAGGGTGCAAGCCGGGCTGAGGGACCCCCCCGCCAGTGCACAAATTTCGTGCACTGGGCCTCTAGTACTTAATAACTTGTTTGAACCGGGCAGTCTGACCTCAGAGTCCAAGCCCTTAACCCCTCTTCTCCACCCTTTCAGAATCTCCCAGGATACTCACATCAGCTTCAGAAATTTTGGAGGCCTGTTCTTTTATCCGTGAATGCCACCATTTCTCAACATCCTTTCTTGTCTGCAGCGTATACTCTTTCGTCCACTGGCCCGTGGCACTGTAAATTCCTCTGGTACATCCTGGAATGACTCTCTTTCCCCAACTGATGACATCCGGCCCACCATTTAGCTCCCTTTTCAGAAGAGAGACATAGAAGCCCAGTCTCTGCCAAGCAGAAGCCATTCTTCAGAAGGCGGGAGGCCCTGAAAGAGGGGAGAAAGCACACTGGTGAACCACCCGAACCCCCTCCTGAGCCTGGCCTTCCACTCAGCACAGCTCAGGGCTCCCTGCCCCCTCACAGGCTTTCCTCTTATTCTTCTGATGATTTCTCTCCCTGAAAAGAATGCTTTAGAAGTTCAATTGAGCTAAGTACATTTTTTTTTAAATATGCTTTTAATGATTTCAGAGAGAGGAAGGGAGAGGGAGAGAGAGATAGAAACATCAATGATGAGAGAATCATTGATTGGCTGCCTCCTGCACACCCCCTACTGGGGATCGAGCCTGCAACCCGGGCATGTGCCCTGACCGGGAATCGAACCGCCACCTCCTGGTTCATGGGTCGATGCTCAAGCACTGAGCCACACTGGACAGCTAAGCACAAACTTTTTTTAAAAATTAATTTATTTATTTTTAAGCACAAACTTTTTAATGGAAAATATAAAGGTGGTCAGTGCTCCCAAACACCAAAGATACAACGCGCCCCCCCCCCCCGCCAGGGACAAATGGAGACCACTGCCTGGGCCAGCTCCTACCACAGCCTCACAGACTGCATGGGAGGCAGCGGAGCCCTCCCTCCCTTCTCTGTAGGCCAGCCCAGGGTCTGCCCAGCAGGCTTCACTTCCCATCGTCCAGGATTCAGAAGAGCTCCAAGCATATCTTAGCTTGGCCTTAGGCTCAAATATCGGAAGGGATCTGAACACAGGCCTTCAAGGAGGACCAGAGACTCTGGGCGATTATAAGCATTTTTCAAATATATTATGAGTTCAAGATACTCGGTAGGCTAAGCCAGGAAATAACTGCAATTTAGAAGACTGCTTATTCACTTAGTTCTCCATTCATTTACCAAATCTGCACTGAGTGCCACAAAGTACACACAGCTCTAGGCACTGGGGACACAGCTGTGAACAAACACAAAGTCCCTTCTGTCCTGGCCCTTACACACTGGCAGAGAAAAGGAGGTAAGAAGCCAACAAATATTATACAATATGTGTAACAGTGGTTTTTCTGGAATCCAACCCATAGGTGGGGGCCCATCAGGACATCCAGCTGCGATTCAAAATTCAACTTAAACGTTTAAATGCTTTTCTCCAAAGTTGAATTCCAGAAATGAACTCATGGAAGATGTTTCATGTTTTATCACGATTCAAAAGGTTGAGGTGACAGTGCATCAGATATTTAAGATTTATGAATAAATAAACTTTCTCCCTTCTTGCATAACAGCATTTGAGAAGTGCTATAGTATTTTCATAACAGATCTTTCAAAACCAGGAAGGAAGGAAGGAAGGAAGGAAGGAAGGAAGGAAGGAAGGAAGGGCCTGACACTCTAAGCTGGTGTTCTTTGATTCTCTCAGAATGTCTCCATATCTACTAGGATTGGCCCCATTTCACAAAGGTACACGGACGTTGCCAACAGGGTTCATTACGGGCTTATAAAGGCGAATTTCACACTCACACAAAATGGCATCACAGTGTTGGCATTTTACAAGTTGGTCTGCCAAGGTTCCTGACATACCAGTTCTCACTGTATTTAACACATCTCGCTTCTTTGGGGGTGAAATCAGAAACAGACTAAAAAAACAACAACAACTCCCTATCCACTGGGCTTGGCTATTTTAATGTGAGTAGATGTGGCTATAGATATAATAGTGAACTATGTGAAATCAGTTGAATACCAGCAATTCCATATGACCAACCTAATATACAGACACTTTGTTTGTTTTATTGTTTAAAGTATTACACATAGTAGTACATATATCTCCTTTTTCCCCCCATTGACCTTCCCCCAGCCTCCCCTACCCCTGGTCGCATGCCCTCATTCCCCCCCCCTCCCCTCCCGTGTCTTGTATCCATTGGTTGTGCTTATGTGCAAGCATACAAGTCCTTCAGTTGATCTCTTTCCCCCGCTCCCCAACATTCCCCAGCCTTCCCGCTGTAATTTGACAGTCTGTTCGATGCTTTATTGCCTCTGTATCTATCTTTTTGTTCATCAGGTAATATATAGACACTTTGTACAACTAAGGCAATCGCATTGATTTTTAGGGGTTAGATGTCTACATAATTAGAACTACCTACAGGACTCATGGATTTTAGGTTCTCTTGCTAAGTCAGCATTCCCATATCTTTGCAAACCAAAGATGCCAGTTTAACGGAGGGCACACAGGGAGATGCCTGCCATCTCTCTCCTAGACTGCATTCCCTAAGAACACATTGGACTATCCTCTCAAATAGAAACAATGGCAAGGAGCAAATTATAAAAATACAAACTGACTCTAACTGTAGTCCCACAAGCTTTTGATTTTAATGATGGTTAGCCATTGTGACAAATGAAACAGCAACGAATGCAAACAGCTCACCAATAGGAGCAATATGAAGGTCATTCTTCCACTTAAAATTCTAATCCTGTCTCTACAACTCACTTATCCTATGAACCAAATTACAAACAATGCATTTACAAACAAGCTTTCTAAAAACATTTACATAATACCTGGTTCACTAATAACCTCCAATAACCTTGCCTTTACACAAACTGGTAGACTAAAGAATCCTGAAACCCATCTGGGTATTTATAAGAACTTAAAGTTCATAAAGAAAAAAGAACAAGTAGATTACAAAGTGACAGATTATTCAAGGAATGGTGGCAAAATTCAAATTAGATCCCCACCTCAAACATAAACCACAGTAAATCTCATATAAATTAAAGAATTTTTTTAAATACCACAAAACAAGACAAAAACATAAAGGGTAGGGAAAATATAGGGTTATAGTTGTTGTATGGAAAATAATACAATAATTAATAAATAATAAACAAGAATAAACTGAGTTACGTACTCACAACTGTAAACCTATCTTTGCCCACCCTGTGGATGAGTACTTAGTAATTCTTTGCAAAGTGCAGGATGTTCTGTCCAGAGAATAAAACAATGAAAAATATTAATAATCTCTCTTAAAATCTAAAACATCTGTCTATCAAAAACACCATTGACAAAAGAAGAAAGCAAAAAATAAGCTGAGAAAAAAACTGCAAAAACTGCAACCAAAAAGCTTATCCTAATCTATAGAGTTCACATATGAGAAGAGAAATATTAAAAACCTAATTTTAAAAATGAGTAGAGGGAAAAAGGGAAGAGTAAAACCAAATGGCTAATAAATGTATAAAAAAGATCAACTTTACAACGAATCAAAAATGCAAATTAAAACAACAATAAAATATTTTGCTTATCAGGTTGGCAAAAACCTGTTAAACCAGTGATTCCCAAAGTGGGCGCTACCGCCCCCTGGTGGGCGCTGCAGCGATCCAGGGGGGCGGTGATGGCCACAGGTGCATTTGTTTTAACTTTTTTTGTATTACCTTTCTATTCTGAGTTCAATAGTTTCATAATTTCAAACTTCAATGTTTCTAATTTACACCTTTCTTTACTATATTTTACGAAAAAGGTAGAAACATTAATACATATATCTTTCTGTTTAATTCCTTTTAAAATTTTTAAAAAATTAATTTCCAGGGGGCGCTGAGTAATATTTTTTCTGGAAAGGGGGCGGTAGGCCAAATAAGTTTGGGAACCACTGTGTTAAACCAAAAGAAATGTGCGTAAGCAGTGCCCAGATCGGCAGTGTTTGGACAGAAGAGACCCGGGGACGCCCCTTCTTCCAGCCTCCGGCCACCCTCCTGCATCTTATCCAGTCAACCAACTTCAGAACCACCTCAGGGACCAGCCAACACACCGGGGTTTTTTTCTACCTTAACTCCTTATTGCCGAACAACCATGAGCTCCCAGATTCGTCAGAATTATTCTACCGAGGTGGAGGCTGCGGCCAACCCCTGGCCAACCTGCATCTGCGGGCCTCCGCACCTACCTCTCTCTGGGCTTCTATTTCCACCGCTAGGATGTGGCCCTCCAGGGTGTGGGCCACTTCTTTCGAGAGTTGGAGAAGAAGCGTGAGGGCTCCCAGCGCCTCCCAAAGACGCAAAACCAGCGAGGGGGCCGCATTCTCTTCCAGGACGAGCTGAAGCCTTCCCAAGAGGAGTGGGCAAAACGCAGGACATGACCATGGATGCCGCCCTGGCCTGGAGAGGAACCTGAACCAGGCCCTTGTGGAGCTGCAGGCCCTGGGTTCTACCCGCACAGACCCCCATCTCTGTGACTTTCTACAGAATCACTTCCAGGGTGAGGAGGTGAAACTCATCAAGAAGATGGGCGACACCTGACTAACATCAGCAGGCTGGCCGGCCCCCAGGCTGGGCTGGGCGAGTATCTCTTCGAAAGGCTCACCCTCAAGCACGACTAGGAGCCTTTGGAGCCCAGAGGCCTTTGAGAGGCCCCTCTGCATCTCCTGGTGTCTGGCTTTTACCTGAGCCTCTTATCAAAACTACTAGCCATTCTTTTAACCACCCTGAAGCCCTCTCCCATGCATTGGACCAAATGAAACAATAAAGCTTTTTGCAGAAAAAAAAAAGAAATGTGCATGGCTCAGTGGTTGAGCATTGACCTATGAACCAGGAAGGAGGTCACGGTTCGCTTCCTGGTCAGGGCACATGCCTGGGTTGTGGGCTTGATCCCCAGTGTGGAGCGTACAGGAGGCAGCCAATCAATGATTCTCTCTCATCACTGATGTTTCTCTCTCTTTCTCCCTCTCCCTTCCTCTCTAAAATCAATAAATGTGCATTTGTATACAGTGCTGGTGGGTATGTAAATTGATTCTACCTCTCTGGGGAGCAATACGGGAAAATATGTCAAGACTCTAAGTTCAGACCTTTTGTGCAGTGGTTCTCAACTTTCTGGTCCTTTAAATACAGTTCCTCATGTTGTGACCCAACCATAAAATTATTTTCTTTTTTTTTTCTTTTTTCCCCCTTTATTGAATAAGCAGTTCCTCATGTTGTGACCCAACCATAAAATTATTTTTGTTGCTACTTCATAACTGTAATGTTGCTACTGTTATGAATCGTAATGTAAATATCTGATATGCAGGATGGTCTTAGGCGACCCCTGTGAAAGGGTCGTTCGACCGCCAAAGGGGTCGCGACCCACAGGTTGAGAACCGCTGTGTTAGAGGGTCCTCAAGATTCAGCACATAGTATACTCAGGGCTATGATTTCTTTTTTTTAATAGTTTGGTTCTCTTCTTTTTTGTAATGTATTTTTATTGATTTCAGAGAGGAAGAGGGAGAAAGAGATAGAAACATCAAGATGAGAGAGAATCATTGATCAGCTGCCTCCTGCACACCCCACACTGGGAACTGAACCCGCAACCCTGCAACCCGGGCATGTACCCTGACCTAGCCTCGAACCAGGACTTCCTGGTTCATAGGTCAATGCTCAACCACTGAACCACTGAGCCACACCGGCCGAGCAGGGCTATGATTTCTTATAGAACTTTCTGGAGCTCGGCCAAGTTCCCTTCCTCTACTTCCCAGGCCCTGCTCTCTGCCACTCACCCCCAAAGCCCCGATGGGTACTGCCTCTTCCTGACCAGGAGCAGCCGTTTTATTAGAGGACTATGCCCATAGGATAAGTGTGAAAGGTGTGGCTGTGGGTTGCATTTATGATCAGCATGGCACCTTTCTTCCTCATCTCTGTCTTCCCCAGCTCTTTACCCAGATGTCTGGAATCTTGTCTCTTCTTCCACCATATTCCGTGATCCTCCCAGCCTCACTTGGGGCTTAAGGTTCAGTTTAATGAGAATGTGGGGGGAGTGGCATGCAAAGCAACAGAACACATAGGAGAAGCATGTGAAGGCACTTGGGTGCACCCAAAAGAAGGTGTGTGAGAATGTACCTGGGGAAATGAGCCTTAATGGACCAAGTTCGGAGACCAAACAAAAATACTACCTCTAATAACGTGATCTGGGCTTCTGCAACTGCTAACTTCCTGTATGACCCCAGGCAACTTATGTCGTGTCTGGAACCTCAGCTTCTCCTTAAGATGAGGGGTTAGTTAGACCCAATGATCGCTGAGGCCCTTCGAGCCCTGACATGCTGTGGCAATGACAGGTGGGCCAGAGAGGCACTGGATGGCTTTTCACTAAGTCCAAACCCCAGCCCAGGGAGCACAGATGCAGGGACCAGCGGGCGGGGGAGGAACTGGAGTACAGACCTACGTGCACACGTGCGCTTTCCAGGGGAAGGGCCCAGAGCTGTCGGCGGGTCTGTCGCTCCAAGAGCCTGAAGACGCAGGTCTCAGAGACTTTCCCAGCGGATGTCGGAGACTTTTCCAGTTCGGAAATGGCTCGACTCCGGGACCACCTAACCCAGTCTGCACCTTCCCCTCCTGCTCCCAGCAGATCGGAACCTCCCGATCCGGGGAGAGAAGATCGGGCCTCGCCTCTTGTCCCGCTGGCCCCGCTCAGGGGTTTACCTGCTCACAGGTTCTGGCCTGCGGCTCCTTATGCCTCGGTTCCCACCTCAGGCGAACACTGCCCGGCCGGCCTCCATGGGCGCCGCCATGTTGGCAGAACAACAACTTTATCGGTAGCGGCCGCCACAGTCACAGACAGGCGGGGGCGGAGCCGGGTTGGCGCAGCTCGGCCTTCTCTCCGACT